TGACCGAGTGGCCTCTATTCTCTGGTAATGACGTTAGTGGTGCATCGGGCCGTGCTGTGCCATTGTGGTCCCAGCCATTGATTGAAGTGGGTGACCGTGTCGGTCGGTGAGCAGCGGTTAGAGAAGCACAGCGTAATCAGGAAGGACTGTGCTCTCAGGCAGACGGAACAATTGAATGGGCACCCAAGCCAGAACTGCTCTCCATCAATAATGTGCTCCAGGCAGAGAGAGATGTTGCTTTTGTGAAGATCTGAGGGTGGGGTTTGGGGAGAAACCGGTAGACAGAGAGAGAGAGAAAAATTGAGATGGCGGATTGATGTATGATGATGTACAGGTTACTGTCAAAATAAGGGAAACCAACATAAAGTGTTTAAATAGGGCATTGGGCCACCACGAGCCGCCAGAACAGCTTCAATGCACCTTGGCATAGATTCTACAAGTGTCTGGAACTCTATTGGAGGGATGCCACACCATTCTTCCACGAGAAATTCCATCATTTGGTGCTTTGTTGATGGTGGTGGAAAACACTGTCTCAGGAGCCGCTCCAGAATCTCACGAAAGTGTTCAATTGGGTTGAGATCTGGTGACTGAGAGACACACACACACTTACACACTCCCTTTAAACCCCTTATGCTCCTTTGAGACCCCTCTTTCAAAGTCTGAGATCTCTTCTAGCCAGGGTAGCCAAAATAATGGTCAATTTGGCATTTTTTTACATGACCCTAAGCATGATGGGACGTTAATTGCTTAATTAACTCAGGAACCACACCTGTGTGGAAGCACCTGCTTTCAATATACTTTGTATCCCTCATTTACTCAAGTGTTTCCTTTATGTTGGCAGTTATCTGTATGTGAGAGAGAAGAGAGAGAGAAGAGAAGAACAGAGTGTGTGTGCATGTATTAGAAAGAGAGATGAGCATAAAGAGAGAGAGAATTAGAGGGAGGGACAAGACAGACCCTCTTAATAAGACCAAAGAAAGAAAGAGAGAGAGAGAGTGCATGTGCATGTGTTAAAGAAGGCGAGATGCCCCCCCCCCCCCCCCCCAAGTAATTTTTCACACCAACGTGGCCAGAAGATGAACAATCCAATTAGTTAGAGCAAGGCCTTTTATTTAAGGAGAGTATTAGATTTATACAGTTAATCAAAACAGCCATGAAGACCGTTCTTTGCTATAATTATGAGGTCGTCGCCGGACCAACCATGCTGTTATTACTGTGTGTTTAATTAAACATGATCAAAGCTAGATCTATAGCATCCGCAGCAGCAGCAGCAGCAGTAGGCATGTTACAATGCAGACAGATCCTGATCTAGTCCCAGGCTTAGTTCTGGATCAGTGTGAGATTAGAAGAAGTCTGCTGCGTGATATTTACTCTCTCTGTAGCTAGGTTTCCATCCAATTGGCGACAGATTTTCCCACCAGAGATGTGTTTCCAACAAATTGACTTGTTGCTGATAAAAGGCTGTGCATGATGATGCAGTGCACATAAAAATAACTTTTGCAGTTAAATTCCCATGTACTGAATAAAAACTAGAATTTAAATGGGTTTTAATCGCATTTTCAACTCTACTGATGGTTTTGTCACAAAAATGTTTGCGTTATAAATGGCGAATATGCCCACTCTGGTCATGGCACAACAGCTCGCAGATACAGTGTGGTTGATGAGATTATTATGGACAAAAGAGCAAGATGATTTTAATTTGTCAAATGGCATCAAGTTCATCACCTTGCATTTTCACCACCCTGTGAAGTATATTCATAACTTATTTCATCTGTAGCGTAATAAACTGTATTGTTTCCCGAGTGTAGTGGAAGGACCACACACCATATCATCGTGTGACTCCAAGTTTACATCGGTATGATGGTTATTATATCAATATTTGCGCGTAAAGGCGTTTCCACCGCCATTTCTCACATAATTAATTTTACAGACACAAAAAGATCCCACCTTGTTTGTTTGGCCGACATTTGGAAAGTCTACTGACAAATTAGCTGTTTCCATCAGGCCTGTCTTTAAAGTGTTTAACCGACATGTACTTTACTCAGCATAAAAAGGTTGGATGGAAGCCTGGTTAGTGACCTTATTTGATATGAGACCCAATGATTAAACAGCACAGTGTTTGAAAAACGAATTAACGTCTAGTATGTGCTACTGACAGGTTGATTAATATTTATAGGGATAGATACACAAAGAAGCTCCTTGTGAATTACACAATGATACATGGCCCTGTTTACACACAATGTCTGTAACTTATGTTTGTGGACAAACTTCCAGGGAAATTGGATGTTCAGCAATTTTCGATGTATTACCATATTGGATATGTGTGTAAACAGAGCCTAAGAGAGTGAATTATAACAAATGAGATGGGAATGCTGGTGTTGTAACAACGCTTTTACACAGACACCTTCCCTGTTTTCCCATTCCATGTCACACACACACATCTGGGCACAGCCTCCCTTTGAGTGAGCAGGACGCCCCCACCCGTTGTATGGGAATGGTGAAGAGGAGAGGGGGCACCAGACCGTAGAGCTGCGACAGGAGCGAGCCCAGCGGGAAAGCCCAGGTCGGGGGCAGTGTGCCTGGGGAGAAAAGCAGGAGGGAGTGGGTGATGTGAAGGGGCAGGCACAGGAGGACCAGGAGGCAGAGGGAGAGGCCCAGAGAGCGGGCACGGGGAGAGCGGCGTTTTGGGGGGCCAGAGCCCGGGCCTTCAGGGTCCTGTCTGGGCATCACACAGACCAGGTCTAGGTAAATGGCCAGCAGGCCCATTAGCGGGAGCAGGAAGACGGTCACCCCATAGACATAGACCAGGAACTGGGGGCTGAGGACGGTGTCGGGGGCACACACCCCCCAGTGGCTCCTATGGATCTCTGCGTAAGTGAAGTTATGGAGATCCTCCACATAGAACTTGGACAGGAAGCCGCCATAAGGGAGGTACTTCCCGATCACAGAGCGGTCCTGGTTGTACTTGGGGGGCGCAGGAGGGGGAGGAGGAGGGGAGGTCCAGTTGCCTGGTGGGATGTCATCCAGCTCCAGCTCATCCAGCCATCCCTCAGCCCCTCCCCAGGTGTCCAGGACATTCCAGCCGATGAACTGGGCAAAGGAGGAGAGGACAGATGCCACCCAGCACAGCAGGACCACACACAGGACTCGCCGACGTGTCACCAGGGAACTGTACCTGAAACAGAGAGAGAGAGAAGGGATAAACATAGAACCCAATGGGTCAAATGAAGCCAGCATGCACTGATGGTCTAGAGCAGGGGTCTTCAACCTTTTCCTGCCCAGGGACCCCCGCCGAGGCAAACTGGCGACCCAGGGACCCCAATCATGTGTTAACCAACATTTTATTTTTCACGTCTTGTCTTATCATCAGGTGAATGATAATGGCAAGGAGAAGTAACATTAACCAACATTTAAAATTAATAGATTTGGTAGACAGTTTTTCATTATTTTGACCTCCCCACATTATAATTGGAAGTATCAGCTCTAACATAGCCTATTAGCTAGACAAAGGTAATTCCCAAACATTGTTTTCTAAAAGTAGCTGTTTAGTTGGTTAAAAAAAGGTAAACGTGTTGGCAAAAATGTATGTCCAAATCAAGAAAGCTTACCAGCAACCAGTGGCACTTTCTGTGATCCGTACCTGCGGGTGCTTTTTTAAAGCTTATCTCGGATACACCAGAGAGCAGAGATTATTATTTTTGTATTTTATTAGGATCCCCATTAGCTGTTGCAAAAGAAGCAGCTACTCTTCCTGGGGTCCACACAAAACATGAAACATAATACAGAACTTTAATAGACAACAGCTGAAGGACAGAACAACATAAATTTTTATTTATTTTTACAAAAGGCACACATAGCCTACATATCAATACATACACACAAACTATCTAGGTCAAATAGGGGAGAGGCGTTGTGCCGTTGTCACGGTTTTCGGCCGAGGCTGCCTCTCTTCCTTGCTCGGGCAGGCTTCGGCGTTCGTCGTCTCCGGAATACTAGCTGCCACCGTTGTATGTTTCTATGTTCGTTTGGTCTGGTCTGGTATTGTACACCTGTTATCGTTTAGTGTCATTAGTGTCCTATAAGTTCTCGTTGTGTTTGTCAAGTGTTGTGTGTGATTGTTTTCACTGTCGTGCGTTTGGCTAGTACGTATACTGTTTGCTCGGTTGAGCTGTTCTCCATGGTGTTGGAGTGTTTTGTCGCACCTGTTTAGTGCGCCCGTTTTGTTTTTCGCCTGCGTGCGGAGTTTCTCGCCTCAGGGCATTTATTCGTGCTTGTGTTTGTGCATCCACTAAAGTCTTTTGGACTTACGTTCTGCGTCCTGCGCCTGATTCCACCACCACACCCACCTACAGCAACACTGACAGAATCACACACCTGCTCGAATGGAATCAGCAGGAGCCGCAGCAGCACAGGAGACGTTGGAGGACAGGGTCCGGGAGCAGAATGACCAGATCCTGCGGATGGGGTCCGCCCTGCAGGAGGTGATCACCACCTCCAACGCTGGGAGACCCGAGGGACACCCCCAACGCCATCTTCCCTGCCCTCACCATCGGCAAGTCAGCCCATACCCGCTCCGGAACCCAGAGGAGTTCGACTCTCGCTCCTGAGGGCCTACGATGGAACCGCTGCCGGGTGTCAGGGCTTCCTTCTCCAGGTGGAGCTTTACCTGGCCACCGTGCACCCGGCGCCCTCGGGACACGAGAGCGTGTCCGCCCTGATCTCCTGCCTTTCCGGCAAAGCGTTAGAATGGGCCAACGCTGAGTGGAGGAGACTAGACGCTACCACCATCACGTACGCCGAGTTTCTCCCGCCGCTTCAGGGCGGTGTTTGACCATCCCCCGGAGGGGAAAGCGGCGGGGGAGCGTCTGTTCTGCCTCCGGCAGGGGAGGAGGAGTGCCCAGGAGTTCGCGTTGGAATTCCGGACTCTAGCGGCGGATGCAGGGTGGAATGAGCGGGCCCTCATTGATCACTACCGCTGTGGTCTACGTGAGGACGTCCGTAGGGAGCTGGCCTGTCGGGACACCAGCCTCTCGTTCGACCAGTTAGTCGACATGTCCATCAGGCTGGATACCCTGCTAGCTACCCGCGGACGTCCCGAGGGGGGTCCGTCCATTTCACCCTCCAGCGCCTCCGAGCCGTGCCCCATGGAGCTCGGGGGCGCTGGCGCTAGAGAGAGGAGGGGTCGGAGTACGAGGGGGTCCATCTCCTGCACCAACTGTGGTCGGGGAGGACACACCGCGGCTAGGTGCTGGGGATGGCCTCCTAGGGGAGAAGACGACAGGCACCCGCACTGGGGAGCCCTTCCAGGGTGAGTAGGCACCCCACTCACCCAGAGCTCTCTGTTGCGCACTTCTGTATACCTGTGCGTTTTCCACAGGTCGCACCTCATTCCCAGCATAGGCGCTGGTAGATTCAGGCGCGGCATGGGAATTTTTGTTGATAAGAGATTTGTTTAGCCTTAGGGATTCCCCTTCTCCCTGTTTGACGTCCCTTCCCGTTCATGCCCTAGATAGCCGTCCGTTGGGTGCGGGCTTGATCAGGGAGGTCACGGCGCCACTTAGGATGTGTGCGCAGGGGGGGTCATCAGGAGATGATCCAGCTATTTCTGATCGACTCGCCTGCGTATCCGGTGGTGCTGGGCATGCCCTGGTTGAGTACCCATAACCCGTCTATTTCGTGGCAGGAGAGGGCTCTGATGGAGTGGTCTGCTCAGTGTGTGGGTCGATGTTTAGGCGTTTCCGTAGGGCTACCTCGGTGGAGAGTCCAAACCAGGTGCCCGCATTGCACGTTCCCCCTGAGTATGGGGATTTGGCTATTGTGTTCAGTAAGTCGAGGGCGACGCAGTTGCCTCCCCATAGGCAGGGAGATTGTGGCGATAGACCTCCAGGCAGGAGCTGCACTCCCACGGAGCCATGGTGTATCCTCTGTCTCAGGAGGAGAAGAGAGCTATGGAGACTTACATAGACGAATCTCTGAGACACGGATACATACGGCCCTCCACTTCCCCTGCATCCTCGAGTTTCTTTTTGTGAAGAAAAAGGATGGTGGGTTACGCCCGTGCATTGATTACCGTGGCTCAATCAGATCACGGTGTGAAGTACAGTTATCCACTCCCGCTGATTGCGACCATGACGGAGTCATTGCACGGGGCGCGTTTCTTTCACTAAATTAGATCTCAGGAGCGCGTACAACTTGGTGCGCATTAGGGGGGGGGCGATGAATGGAAGACAGCCTTTAGTACCACCTCGGGCCATTACGAGTATCTTGTCATGCCATACGGGTTGATGAACGCTCCTTCAGTTTTCCAATCATTCGTGGATGAGATCTTCAGGGACATGCAGGGGCAGGGGGTGGTCGTGTACATAGATGACATTCTCGTGTACTCGTCTACCCGAGTCGAGCATGTGGCCCTGGTGCGCCGAGTGTTGCGGAGGCTGTTGGAGCACGACCTGTATGTCAAGGCAGAGAAGTGTCTGTTTTTCCAGGAGTCGGTCTCCTTTTTGGGTTATCAGTTGTCTGCGTCAGGGGTGAAGATGGGAGGTAGACCGGGTGTCAAGCCGTGCGTAATTGGCAAACGCCACCACTGTTTGAAGGAGGTGCAGCATTTTTTGGGGGGTTTGCGAATTACAAACCTCCGGGGGTTTTAAATTTCCCGGGGGTTTTTGGACAGGGGGCACTCCCTAACGTCTTTTTTTGGGGGGTTTTCCGGGGGCGTCTGCAGGGGGTCAGCCGAGGCGGACGGGGGCTTTTTGGGGGGGCTAAGGGGACCTGTTACCCCCCGGCCCCCGGGTGCTGGCGACCCGGGATCCTTCTTAACCATTTCAGGTAAAAGGTTTGGGCCGCTCAAAAGGCCATATAGGGCCTTTTTTTCCGCAAGGGTCGGCGCGCCCCCAAACTCCGCCCTGTCTTTTTTTTTTCCCCAAAAGCTCATACGGCGGGGCGAAATTATAAACGTGGGGGACAGGGGCGGTTAGCCGTGGTACGGCCCAAAAGGTGTGAGGCACTGGCTTGAGGGGGCTCAACACCCGTTCCTCATTTTGACGGACCACCGTAACCTGGAGTACATCCGGGCAGCGAGGAGACTGAAACCCTCGCCAGGCGCGTGGAATATGGTTTTTGACCCGGTTCATATTTAAGATCACGTACATCCCTGGGTCACAGAACGGTAAGGCAACGCACTGTCTCGGCGGTATGACACGGAGGAGAGGTCCGTGGAGCCCACTCCCATACTGCCGGAGTCTTGTCTGGTGGCACGGTAGTGTGGGAGTCGATGCTGAACTCGAGCGTGGCGTTACGCACCGACCCTAGTCCACCTCAATGCCCGGAGGGTCGGAGTACGTTCCGCTCGAGGTTCGGGATCGATTGATCTATTGGGCTCACACGTCACCCCCTCTGGACACACCGGGTATCGGCCGGACAGTGCACGTCTTAGTGCTAAGTACTGGGTGGCCCACTTGGCGAGGGATGTTAGGGTTTATGGTTTCCTCCTGCTCGGTGTGCGCCAGTGTAGGCGCCTAGACATCTCCTAGGGGTAAGTTTACTACCCCTGCCCGGTCCACAACGACCATGGTCTCACCTCTCGGTGGATTTCATCACTGACCTTCCTCCTTCACAGGGGAATACCACTATACTGGTCGTTGTGGACCGGGTTCTCTAAGGCCTGTCTTTGCTCCCTATGCCGGGCCTTCCTACTGCCCTGCAGACCGCCGAAGCGCTATTCACCCATGTGTTCCGGCACTACGGGGTACCCGAGGATATTGTGTCTGATCGAGGTCCCCAATTTACCTCCAGAGTCTGGAGAGCTTTTATGGAGCGGTTGGGGGTCTCGGTGAGCCTCACCTCGGGTTACCACCCGGAGAGTAATGGGCAGGTGGAACGTGTGAACCAGGATGTGGGTAGGTTTCTTAGAACATACTGCCCAGGACCGGCCGGAGGAGTGGGCAAGGTACGGTTCCCTGGGCCGAAATGGCCCAGAATTCCCTACGCCATTCCTCCACTAACCTAACCCCTTTCCAATGTGTGTTAGGTTACCAGCCGGTTCTGGCACCTTGGCAGCAGAGCCAGATCGAGGCTCCTGCGGTGGATGAGTGGGTGCGGCGCTCGGAGGAGACATGGAAACTCTGCACACGTCCACCTGCAGCGGGCCCTCCGTCGTCAAAAGGCGAGCGCCGATTTCCACACCGCAGTGAGGGACCGGTGTAACGCACCTGGTGATCGAGTCTGGCTCTCTACCAGAAACCTGCCCCTCCGCCTGCCCTGTCGGAAACTGGGTCGGCGGTTTGTAGGGCCATTTAAAGTCCTGAGAAGATTGAACGAGGTGTGTTACAGATTACAACTACCTGTTGAGTATAAAAAGTATTAACCCCCTCGTTCCATGTGTCTCTTCTCAGGCCGGTGGTAGCTGGCCCAACTCCAAGAAAGTGAGATCAGGGAGACTCCTCCGCCCCCATTGGACATCGAGGGGGCACCGGCGTACTCCGTGCGGGTCCATCTTGGATTCGAGACGTCGGATGGGGGGTCTCCAATATCTAGTGAAGTGGGAGGGGTACGGCCCGGAGGAACGGTGCTGGGTGCCGAGGAGAGACATTTTGGACCCGTCTCTCCTGACGGAATTCCATCGTGGTCACCCGACGCACCCTGCTCCGCGTCCTCCTGGTCGTCCCCGAGGCCGGAGTCGGCGCACGTCTGGAGCCGCGCGTCAAGGGGGGGGGGGGGTACTGTCACGGTTTCGGCCGAGGCTGCCTCTCTTCCTTTCTCGGGCAGGCTTCGGCGTTCGTCGTCTCCGGAATACTAGCTGCCACCGTTGTATGTTTCTATGTTCGTTTGGTCTGGTCTGGTATTGTACACCTGTTATCGTTTAGTGTCATTAGTGGTCCTATAAGTTCTCGTTGTGTTTGTCAAGTGTTGTGTGTGATTGTTTTCACTGTCGTGCGTTTGGCTAGTACGTATACTGTTTGCTCGGTTGAGCTGTTCTCCATGGTGTTGGAGTGTTTTGTCCGCACCTGTTTAGTGCGCCCGTTTGTTTTTTCGCCTGCGTGCGGAGTTCTCGCCTCAGGGCATTTATCGTGCTTGTGTTTGTTGCATCCACTAAAGTCTTTTGGACTTACGTTTCTGCGTCCTGCGCCTGATTCCACCACCACACCCACCTACAGCAACACTGACAGCCGTGAGGTGTTTGCTTTAATCTGTTTTTTGAAACCAGGTTTGCTGTCACTTGGGGCAATATGAGATGGAACGGAGTTCCATGCAATAATGGCTCTATATAATAGGTGTACGCTTCTTGAATTTGTTCTAGATTTGGGGGACTGTGGAAAAGACCCCTGGTGGCATGTCTGGTGGGGTACATGTGTGGTCAGAGCTGTGTGTAAGTTAACTATGCAAACAATTTGGGATTTTCAACACATTAATGTTTCTTATAAAAAGAAGAAGTGATGCAGTCGTCTCTCCTCAACTCTTAACCAAGAGAGACTGCATAGTATTATATCAGCCCTCTGATTACCAATGGTTGAATCATCAGAATACAGAATACATGGACGAAATGTTTTGGGTTTAATGCACCGGAAAGGTAAATTGGAAAAAATAAAAAAGAGTAGGGGGCCCAAGGGCGCCCTGCGGCAAAAACCCCACTTTCCTGTTTAAACTTTAGAAAGCTTCCTTAAAAAAAGCCCTTTTGGGTTTTCATTGAAGATAGTTTTCCCGGGAATTAAAAGGGCCTCCAAATATGGAAAATTTTGGGAAAAAAGGGCCCTTAAAACCCAAACCCCTTTTTATTTTTTCCCAACCCAACTTTTTGGCCCAAATAATTACCCCCAAAACTCCCAAAATTTTTTAAGGGTCCCCGGAAATCTTGTTTTTTTAAAATTTTTCTTTAAACCAAATAAACATATTTGTTTTCCAGTGGGGCCCAATTTTACAATTTATTTCCCCCTTCCCAAAACTCCCTGAACTCTTTTTATTGTTTTAAAAGAAATGGCAGGGGTAGTTTTTTTCCAAAAAAGTTGTAAATCCCAAAAGGATGGTCTTTTAAAACCGTAAAAGGGGGGGGGGGGGGGGGGGGGGGGGGGGGGGGGGGGGGGGGGGGGGGGGGGGGGGGGGGGGTTAAGGGGGGGGGGGGGGGGGGGGGGGGGGGGGGGGGGGGGGGGGGGGGGGATTTGTCTTTCTGCCCATTATTTCATTTAACATTTCCATCATTCTTTATATCATTGATCTTGTTTTGATAATAAAGTTTCTTCTTATTTTTGTTGAGTTTAGTCACATCATTTCTCAATTTGCAGTAAGTCAGCCAGTCAGATGTGCAGCAAGACTTATTAGCCACTCCTTTTGCCCCATCTCTTTCAACCTACAGTTTTTTCAATTCCTCATCAATCCATGGAGCTTTAACAGTTCTAACAGTCAGTTTCTTAACAGGTGCATGTTTCTCAGTAATTGGAAGAAGCAATTTCATAAATTAATCAGTGCAGCATCTGGATGCTCCTTATTAATCACATCAGACCAACAAATATTTTTAACATCAGTATTTCTGTTACATATATTTTAAAATATGTCTCAACTACTTCTGAGGTATTTTGGTAATTTGTATTACACTGGGCTTAACTACACTCCAATGTATTTTGTAACTTTCGAGAGCTGTAATTAGTATTTTCAAAATACAAAATACATTTTCTATACCATTTTCTATAGCGGTTTTACAATTTTGTGGCCACTTTCACCCTGCATTGGTATCAAAAGTCTGATGGCACTATAATGTGATAAGAGTGTTTGCTAAATGAACTAAATATAAATGTATACTGTATGTAAAAAGAAAAAATTACAAAGCATGTTGAGTAGTAATCTCCACTTCGAAACAAGGTCAATAATAATACCTAGTGTGCTTTGCCGTAAATTTTCTCATATACAGTATATTTACATTTTGGTCATTTAACAGACCCTCTTATCCAGAGGGACTTGCAGTCAGTGCATTCAACTAAGGTAGATAAACAACAACATATCACAGTCATAGCAAGTAAAATGTTTCTGTAACCGTTACTGAGAATGTTGTTGCTGTTCGGGCAGGCTACTTGCAAATGTATTTCTATATTTGAAAATATGAAATGCATGTATTTTAATTAAATACATTTCAAACTTATTTTGTAGTTTACTTTGATACATTGATCTTTATGGTATTTTGTAATTAGCTATTTTTGCCAATCCCTGTCAATGAGTGTAATGAGCTCCAATGAGTGTAATTTGCTCAATATAAGGAGTTGATAAATAAAGTAATCATTGTTAGAAAGAAGATGTCCTCCTCTTTTCTACTGTATGTATGTAATAATACAATTGTTTATTCTGTTGTTGCTAGCATTATTCATAAAAATATATATTTGTTCCACTTTTTGGTTTGTTTTAATTTATTTTTTTAATATTTATGTGGACCCTCCGGTTGAATACTCCTGGTCTAGAGTGCAGTCCTGAGAACATTTGGCAAATTCTTTCAGGTGCACTTGATTTAGTTTTGGTACTTTTTAGCCCCCCTCTCTGACTCACCTGCTCCCCATGCGATGCTTCAGGTGGGAGTCGAGGGTCAAGAGCAGCAGCAGGCAGACAGTGAACTGCCTGACCAGCAGAGGACAGCACACCAGGGTAATGCAGGTGTACAGGCACTGGGGACTCCTCAGGTTCAGCAGCACAGAGACAGGGACCCCCACCGCACCCCCCATTGCCCCCACCCAGCCCAGACACAACTTCAGGCAGGCAGAAACACTCCCGCTCTGGGTATAACCAACCTCCTCCCTGGCCTCCTCCATCCTCCTCGATCCCACCACCACCCATAGACATCCTCACACTCACAACGATCACCGACACAGATACCACACACTGACTCACTGAGTACAGCCACATGTGCTCCATGGCTGAACCTAAGAGGGGGACAGAGACAAAGGGGTGGGGGAGGTGGCAGAGCTAAGAGAGAGAGAGAAAGACGAGTGAAACACAGCCCGTCCATTGGGTGAGGTGTCCAAACCTAACTCTAAGAGATCATTAAATGTTTCTACTGCACTTGTCGCAACAGTGGATGTCCTACCATGGCTACCTAGCTAATTATAAACATTTTCCCAATTGGCTCTTTGATTCTCTCCTCTCCCCTGAAACTGACTTCCAGGTGAGGTTTTTCATGAGGAAGCATTCTCAGTCAGTTTACCTGGGACATAAAAAAAAAAAAAAAAAAGACTAGCGGGCGGTGGGAGGATAGAGTAAAGGAAAAATACATGAAAAGGGAGAAGCAGAGGCAGGACGTTGAGGGGGAGAGATTGTTAGATATTTTTTATTGGTATTGGAGACCTGTAAGCATGCTTGGAGAGTGAAAAGGTCAGCGTAGACCGGACCTGACAGAGCGCTCACACTGAGGATGTGAGCATCATGCAAACACAGTGTAGAGAGGGTAGGCTCTGTGAAAACAGACCGTTAACAACACACACTGCAGCAGACAGACAGAGCCGGAGACGCTGGTGTGAACTTACTTGAGTGTGACTGACAGGTAATTTCAGAACATTTTCAAACATTGGGCTCAAATAAAGCAAAGCGGATGGATATTGAAATAGCAGATTTAACGCTGTAATGTGCCACCTGTCTCCTCAGAATAATGAGTTTGACCTTTCAGGACACCCAGACGACAAGTTGTCAGTTTTCATAATAATTATGACTGACTGGAATAACCATTTTATACAGCGCATTATCACTTGATACAGTTGTCTCATGTCCTCCTCCTTGAAGGGGCCTTGAAAATAATTAATGGAGTGCATCCCACCTTATGTGGGTGTCTCGGTTTGAATCTGTGACTGGTCGCTTTCAATGTGATTAATTTACCTTTGTTAATCAATTAAGCATTGAGAGACAACACAAGCATACAGACTCACCGCCACACGACAACAGTCAGAGCTTTAGATCAGATAGTTGGAAACTCAATAGATGACAGAAAAGATGGTAGAGAATATAATGGATGAAGAATGGATAGAGAACAGAAGGGTGATTTTGTGGACCCCAGGAAAAGTAGCTGCTGCTATCGCAACAGCTAATGGGGATCCTAATAAAATACCAAATACCAAAATATAGCTATCTAGAACAGTAGAATAAATGAGAAAATACCAAATTACCTGATATGTTGAGGATGTATATATCTGGATAAGAGCATCTGCTAAATGACTAAAATGTAAAATGTAAATATAACTCTATGACAGTTCTAATCTGTCCTCAGTAAATCTTCCCTCGCTCTTTACCTCTCTATCTCTTCCTCTCACTCTATTCTTCTGCACTGACTGACAGAATAACTCACATTCATAAACCGTCATTACCCTCTCTGCCCACCTATCTCCTGGTCTTGTCTATGCAAACATATCAATTGTGTCAATGTTGAAGCAGTGCTGACCTTTCCACCCGAGCTGTGCAAGGGTCACCACAGGCATTGTAAATACGTTTTTTTTTAAAGGCCAAGGCTATTAGTTAACACATATACTCGCAGACACACACACTCAAGTCAATCGAACATGTACAAATGCGTGCACACACACACACACACGGAGAGAGACACTCAAACATGTGTGTAAACATAGTGGCACAGATGGAAGAGATGATAAACAGAGAAAAACAAAGGAGAGAAAGAAGAGAGGGACAGAGAATGCAACCTCTTCTCTACTGAAGGGTTTGGGCATCGTTCTGTGAAAAGAGCTTGTGTTCACTGTGCCGTGTTTCAGGCAGCAGTACATTTATTTTTCAAAGGCTATTTCTAGGATAACAAAGAACAAATGAAGTGGCATTGTTGTTGTTTTTCCATGGGGGAAATGTACCATGGGAAATAAAGAACGATTGTTGCATGCAGGATTCAAAGGAATTTTATCATGATCTCTGTCAGTAGGCTATTTGTGGAAATCCCATAAGAATAAGATATGGTTTTATATAGTATGTATAAGCTGGAAGTAGAAGCCTAAGTGTTGTTGTCCATTAGTTTACTCCAATTAGGGGAGGGATGGTAGGGTTAGGGGAAAATAATAAAGGAAAATATATTTTTTAAATATATATACACTACCAGTCAAAAGTTTGGACACACCTACTCATTCAAGGGTTTTTCTTTATTTTTACTATTTTTTACATTGTAGAATAATAGTGAATAATAGTGAAGACATCAAAACTATGTGTCGTGTCGCGTCGGCTGCTGGTAGCTATTGCTTTTAACCAAAGAGTCTGCCTAGGCTGCACCGTGTTCAAAGGCTTTTATTAAAATCACGAGGTTACAGCATAAGTTACAGACACGCGAAGATCTGGAGAAGCAGTCCCAAATGAATCTCAATGCTTTCTGCCCCTCCGTCGTTGTTCCCCCCTTATATATAACCTCCCAAGATGTGGGTGGCTCCCTCTACTGTCCAATCCCCGTCTCCCCTGGGGCATCACCCTCCAAACGCCACATTTGAACTAAGATCATAAAACAACATTCTTTGTTCCAAAACAGTCATAATGTTAATACACCACATATGGAATAACACATATGGAATCATGTAGTAACCAAAAACGTGTTAAACAAATCAAAATATATTTGATATTTGATATTCTTCAAATAGCCACCCTTTGCCTTGATGACAGCTTTGCAGACTCTTGGTATTCTCTCAACCAGCTTCATGAGGTAGTCACCTGGAATGCATTTCAATTAACAGGTGTGCCTTCTTAAAAGTTAATTTGTGGAATTTATTTCCTTCTTAATGGGTTTGAGCCAATCAGTTGTGTTGTGACAAAGTAGGGGAGGTATACAGAAGATAGCCCTGTTTGGTTAAAGACCAAGTCCATGTTATGGCAAGAACAACTCAAATAAGCAAAGAGAAATGACAGTCCATCATTACTGTAAGACATGAAGGTCAGTCAATATGGAACATTTCAAGAACTTTGAACGTTTCTTCAAGTGCAGTCGCAAAAACCATCAAGCGCTATGATGAAACTGGCTCTCATGAGGACCACCACAGGAATGGAAGACCCAGAGTTACAGTGGGGAGAACAAGTATTTGATACACTGCAGATTTTGCAGGTTTTCCTACTTACAAAGCATGTAGAGGTCTGTAATTTTTATCATAGGTACACTTCAACTGTGAGAGACAGAATCTAAAACAAAAATCCAGAAAATCACATTGTATGATTTTTAAGTAATTCATTTGCATTTTATTGCATGACATAAGTATTTGATCACCTACCAACCAGTAAGAATTCAGGCTCTCACAGACCTGTTAGTTTTTCTTTAAGAAGCCCTCCTGTTCTCCACTCATTACCTGTATTAACTGCACCTGTTTGAACTCGTTACCTGTATAAAAGACACCTGTCCACACACTCAATCAAACAGACTCCAACCTCTCCACAATGGCCAAGACCAGAGAGCTGTGTAAGGACATCAGGGATAAAATTGTAGACCTGCACAAGGCTGGGATGGGCTACAGGACAATAGGCAAGCAGCTTGGTGAGAAGGCAACAACTTTTGGTGCAATTATTAGAAAATGGAAGAAGTTCAAGATGACGGTCAATCACCCTCGGTCTGGGGCTCCATGCAAGATCTCACCTCGTGGGGCATCAATGATCATGAGGAAGGTGAGGGATCAGCCCAGAACTACACGGCAGGACCTGGTCAATGACCTGAAGAGAGCTGGGACCACAGTCTCAAAGAAAACCATTAGTAGCACACTACGCCGTCATGGATTAAAATCCTGCAGCGCACGCAAGGTCCCCCTGCTCAAGCCAGCGCATGTCCAGGCCCATCTGAAGTTTGCCAATGACCATCTGGATGATCCAGAGGAGGAATGGGAGAAGGTCATGTGGTCTGATGAGACAAAAACAGAGCTTTTTGGTCTAAACTCCACTCGCCGTGTTTGGAGAAAGAAGAAGGATAAGTACAACCCCAAGAACACCATCCCAACCGTGAAGCATGGAGGAGGAAACATCATTCTTTGGGGATGCTTTTCTGCAAAGGGGACAGGACAACTGCACCGTATTGAGGGGAGGATGGATGGGGCCATGTATTGCGAGATCTTGGCCAACAACCTCCTTCCCTCAGTAAGAGCATTGAAGATGGGTCGTGGCTGGGTCTTCCAGCATGACAACGACCCGAAACACACAGCCAGGGCAACTAAGGAGTGGCTCCGTAAGAAGCATCTCAAGGTCCTGGAGTGGCCTAGCCAGTCTCCAGACCTGAACCCAATAGAACATCTTTGGAGGGAGCTGAAAGTCCGTATTGCCCAGCGACAGCCCCGAAACCTGAAGGATCTGGAGAAGGTCTGTATGGAGGAGTGGGCCAAAATCCCTGCTGCAGTGTGTGCAAATCTGGTCAAGACCTACAGGAAACGTATGATCTCTGTAATTGCAAACAAAGGTTTCTGTACCAAATATTAAGTTCTGCTTTTCTGATGTATCAAATACTTATGTCATGCAATATAATGCAAATTGATTACTTAAAAATCATACAATGTGATTTTCTGGATTTTTGTTTTAGATTCCGTCTCTCACAGTTGCTATGATAAAAAAAAGTACCTATGATAAAAATTACAGACCTCTACATGCTTTGTAAGTAGGAAAACCTGCAAAATCGGCAGTGTATCAAATACTTGTTCTCCCCACTGTACCTCTGCTGCAGAGGATAAGTTCATTAGAGTTACCAGCCTCAGAAATTGCAGCCCAAATAAATGCTTCACAGAGTTCAAGTCACAGACACATCTCAACATCAACTGTTCAGAGGGGACTGTGTGAATCAGGCCTTCATGGTTGAATTGCTTCAAAGAAACCACTACTAAAGGACACCAATAAGAAGAAGAGACCTGCTTGGGCCAAGAAAAACGAGCAATGGACATTAGACAGGTGGAAATTTGTCCTTTGGTCTGGAGTCCAAATTTGAGATTTTTGGTTCCAACCGCCGTGTCTTTATGGGTGAACGGATGATCTCCACATGTGTAGTTCCCACCGTAAAGCATGGAGGGTAGGTGTTATAGTGTGGGGGTGCTTTGCTGGTGAAACTCTCTGTGATTTATTTAAAATTCAATGCACACTTAACCAGCATGGCTACCACAGCATTCTGCAGCAATTCACCATCCAATTTGGTTTGGGCTTAGTGGGACTATCATTTGTTTTTAAACAGGACAATGACCCAACACACCTCCAGGCTGTGTAAGGGCTATTTGACCAAGAAGGAGAGTGATGGAGTGCTGCATCAGATGACCTGGCCTCCACAATCCCCCGACCTCAACCCAACTGAGATGGTTTGGGATGAGTCGGATGGCAGAGTGAAGGAAAATCAGCCAACAAGTGCTAAGCATATGTGGGAACTCCTTCAAGACTGTTGGAAAAGCATTCCAGGTGAACCTGGTTGAGAGAATGCCAAGAGTGTGCAAAGCTGTCATCAAGGCAAAGGGTGGCTATTTGAAGAATCTCAAATATAAAATATGTTTTAATTTGTTTAACACTTTTTTAGTTACTACATGATTCCATATGTGTTATTTCATAGTTTTGATGTCTTCATTATTATTCTACAATGTATAAAATAGTCAAAATTAAGAAAAAACCCTTGAATGAGTAGGTGTGTCCAAACTTTTGACTGGTACTGTATATATTTTATATATATTTACAAAAATATATGGGTGACTGGAAATGATGCAGACAATTACATTGATGGAAGCCACAATCTATCTGCAATATTAAAGCTGATCTACCCCCTATAAAAATAAAATAATAATAATAAGATATGGTTACAATGCATTTCATAGATCTTGAAATACTGACGTGATATTTCACAAGATTGTTATAATAAAAACATCAGTTTGAAATACATTATCCTGGTTATTGCATTCACTGTGCAGACTATAGTAACATTATACATTAGTATCCTATTGCTGCAATAAAAATGTACTTCCATATACTACTAAAAAATTGCTAATTAATTCCTATTGCTGCTCCAGGGCATTTGCCTCTTCTTTTGCAGACAATTTAATAAGTCAAGGCTTTTGATTGTGAAGTAGCCTTAACCTTGGACACTGCACGCTGCTTTGAAATGCATCAGGTTGTACTCTGATTGGGCTAGAAATTCATCAACAGGGCATCTTGTGATGAAAATACCAACGTACAGGGTGAGGTCATATATCGCGAGAGTGAACGCGATCCGCCCGTTTTAACACGGGCTGGAAACCCCGTCCAACCCTCTTCCTCTCGCTGTCCACAAGCAAGGTAAAAGGATGTCTGTTCTCTGGTTTTATTTGACCAAATGTATGACATTTTCGTGATAATTATTCTCCCATAACTGACCACGTATACATTAAACAATCAATTAACAACTACCGGGTTTTCCGGAAAGTACAGAATCGTGTAGATTATTTACAAGATATGTAAAGTTGCATGCGGCACTCACACGTATCTTCCAGTGATGGTTGCCCCCATGACTCTGCATTGAGGCCTAAACATTTCGCGTTTACTTTGTCCATTTTAGAAGATACTTATCTTATCTGCGCTAACGGTGTCTTCCATTTGAATGTACTACGCTCGTCGGCTGTTGAACTGTGATCCTCCTTATACTGGCTGGATTTCTGTCTCGAATTTCTGTGGTTACATGTCTGGGCTGCTACCGAGGTTCACTACTAGCGTTGTGGCTAACTCTTGCTAATTAGATAACTACCATCACATGCCGGTGACCGGTTTGTTTTGTGAGCTGGTTAGTCCAACTAGGCTTTGATACTATCAGTTATTTGCTTAAATTGTCCTTCAGATAATGCAATATTATGCGCTGAGGGATTCATATTATCACGAGATAGTGAATATTTTCTATCGCCGCTGGCCAACAGGAAGGTAGGTAGCCTAAATAATTAGCCAGCCAACTAACGTTAATTGCCTGCTTAAGCAAGCTGTTCATCACCCATTTGGTTAGTTAAGTAACTAGTTAGCTAGATATGTGGTTTGCAGGAGAGTTGTCAATAGTAGTGTATAGACACTTGCAATCATCAGATTAACTGTTTTCTGATTATTGGGGTAGTCGAGTCATCCTATCATATACCTAACGTTAGTTACATGACAACTAGGCTACATATTGAATGTATTCAGGACCTCAGTCTACCCAGGACATTCATTGCAGTCTGCATTGCCATCATTCATGCATTGTACCTCATATTGAAGTTCTCCTCTCCCTCTCTCGTAGATGCCTGGTGTCACAGTGAAAGACGTCAACCAGCAGGAGTTTGTCCGTGCCCTGTCGGCTTTCCTGAAGAAGTGAGTTTTCCACAGAGTTCTTTAATATAAGCATGTGTAGTCGCATACACGTGAAGCCTTGTTAAATTCTTGCTTAGTAATGCGTTTTCTGACTGACTAACGTATGCTTTTCATGTTCTAGGTCAGGAAAGCTGAAGGTCCCAGATTGGGTGGACATTGTCAAGCTGGCCAAACACAAGGAGCTGGCCCCCAGTGACGAGAACTGGTTCTACACCAGAGCTGGTATGATTTCGACCATTGACACCCCATGACATTCTTCCCTTCAGGACTACCTGTTTTCTCAGGCCATTAGTCTAGTTTGGTAGCTACAATCTATTATTGGCATTGGTTTAGACCCAAATTGGCCACAAATGATTTTCCTCACCGTTAGTGCAGAAGTATGGAACAAGATCATTGTGACTGACCATCAGTGGTATTAACCCCTCTCCTTTTGTTCCCCTCTTCTCCTTCCCAGCTTCCACAGTTCGCCACCTGTACCTGCGTGGGGGTGCCGGTGTGGGCTCCATGACCAAGATCTACGGTGGTCGCCAGAGGAACGGTGTGTGCCCCGCCCACTTTAGCGTCGGCTCCAAAAATGTGGCCCGTAAGGTGCTGCAAGCCCTCGAGCTTCTCAAGATGGTGGAGAAGAACCCCAACGGGTGAGTTGAACCATGCTGGTTAGAATGTTGTCCCTAGACACTGATCCAAGGTCGGCGTTCTCATTGGTCCTTATGGTTAGGATTGGGGTAAGCGAGCCGGTCCTACACAGCTACTTCTACTGAGAACAGAGTGAAACACCAGATATGGACTGTTTTATTACGTCACCCAGTCCTGGTCCCAGAGCACAACTGGGTTGAGGATTTTAAATTCAGTTTGCATGCTGCGGCTAACAAAGACCAAACGCCTTGAAACCGGAAAAAAAATGTTATTGTTGAACCCATTTTGTGCCCACTGAACACAACCGTATACAAAGTATCTTACAAGTGCTCAATTTCATTTGTTTTGATTATTTTATTTGCATGAAATATGGATGAACATAACTATTGTGATCTTACCAGGCGCATTCAGATGTGTTAATTGATTTTGTAGCATTCTAGCAATTTCTGCACATGGGTGGGCACATTTCATCCTATGGCGGTTGTGTAGTGGTGTCATTGCCAAAGTGTTCCAGTCTCTAGTGTTGCGTCAGTCGACCTGTATAAGGGATGTTGATGTCTTTGCGTTGTTGATGTACAGAATGGAGTTGATCCGTTAGTATGGAGGAGTGTTAATTTGTTCTCTTGCTGACTGAATGAACATCTTCTCTCTCGCAGTGGTCGCAGACTAACCGCCCAGGGAACCAGAGATCTGGACAGGATTGCTGGCCAGGTGAGGCCCTTCGCTTTACCCCACCAGCAGGGTTTGGTTACCTTGCTTCTGGGGAGCCCATGGGTTGTGCAGGCCTGTTCCAGAAATACGGCAAAATAAATAGGTTAAATCGGGACCGTGAGATAATTTGGTCAAATTATCTCAAATATACAGGTGTGGTGTGAAATGGAAATTTGTTTTTTGCATATCCCACTCCCCCGAGACACCCTCTACAAGAGTGGGGTCACTGCCAGACATTGGCCATTATTGATAGCGACCCTGGGGCAATTAGGTCCTCTGTAGCTCAGCTGGTAGAGCATGGCGCTTGTAACGCCAAGGTAGTGGGTTCGATCCCCGGGACCACCCATACACACAAAAAATGTATGCACGCATGATTGTAAGTCGCTTTGGATAAAAGCGTCTGCTAAATGGCTTATTATTATTATTATTAGGTTTAAGTGCCTTGCTCAAGGGCAGATTGACAGATTTTTCATCTACTCTGCTTGTGGATTCGAACTAGCAACCTTTCGGTTATTGGCCCAGCACTCTTAACCACTAGGCAATCTGCCGCCTTGCTTGGCTGGAATAAAGGCTTTATAGCCCTAAGGCTCCCCAGGACCAGGGTACTGCCTACTTGTACCTCATAGTATCAGGCCTGTGGGCCCTTATCTAAAAAGTAGCCTCTAACATGTTTTGTTGCAAAAATAAGTTTGTTTCATCACTAAAACATGTCCCCCTGCACTTTGATGGTAGTACATCCCTGACAGTGCATGTAATGAGAGCATCAGCACAGTGTTGCCCAAGCATGCAACCTGCTTTTTGAATTCAGCCAGCTGTCCTTGGTCTAGATTTATTCTCTAACTTTGCTCCTGAGCCTCGCAGCCTGCATAATGAGTGTCAGTCGTAGTTTTTTTTACTGTGGTAAAAACAAACCGCTCTGCCGCTGTCGGCTGCAATCTGAGTCTGCCTAAGAGGAACAACGGTGTGACAATCCAAGGGTAAACCAGCAGAGGGAATTTCATGCTGACTGAATCCACCGTATGGTGCAGCTTTTCCCTGTTGATCCTTTGTTATGAGCTGAATTTAGATGAGCTAACCTGGCCCTCCCTGGCTGCTACATGGTGGCGTCATTGATCGGCTCGCTTGGCTTCCCCCTGTGGTGTTTTTGATGGCTTAAGAAATAGTTTATATCCCAGGCAGCTAGGTATGTCATGTGCTCTCACCGACATGACTGGTGTTTCTGACGGGTTGTAGTGTAGTCAATGTCCTCAAGCTGTTAGTTTTATTCCAGGCCTCATTACTTTGTTAGATCAGGAGCTCACTGGAATAACCTCAGAACAAATCTACAGCACTAAGTAATGTATTTTTGATTTGTTTCCCCAGGTTGCAGCTGCAAAGTTGCCGCCAAAGGCTGCACCCACAGTTTAATAAATCTATTTTTGGAGAAGGTGAAATCTTGTCTGTGCTTCTTTCAAATCTGAGCAAGTTGGATTTGACCAACAATTGATGGGACCTCTTTGTGGTTGCTTCCATAGGCTTATGGTTTTACATACCAATGTTAGATATGTAACCGCTTTGGTCTTGATGTCATTGGGGGACTGGACTGATGAAGTGTAGTTTTTGTGATGGCTGTCTGTTTAGTCTACACACAATGTAGTTTATGTTAAGAGAATTTCTATGGACTTCCAAAATATTACTCACCTCATGAGCTTAGTTAAACGCTTACCCTAGCATACCGGTAACTCAAACTATTTGTCATTTGAGTCTTAACTATGCATAGCTTCAAAATGTTTTACTGTCATGTTGATCTATGTGCTGCTAGTTGTCTTGACACCGGATGTGGGAAGATTCTTAAGGGTATGAGAATATGGCTTAATGCAACAGTGCCATCTAGAGTAGACTGAAGACTCGACTACAGCTCACCCAGCAGAAATTTCTCGCAAGGAGGGTTGAGTGCCGCTTAGTCTTTGGTGTTACCTGTCAAGTTAAATGTGATTTGCACTTCCTGAAAAGCACAGTGTCCTCCAACTCTACCAGAGGAAGAGGCGACGCGAGCGGTTTTGCTCTCCAAAATCTGTCAAGCCCAACATGTTCCTATGGGCTTATTTTGGACCTAAGCTTGTTGCCTGTCTTTCTACCATTGGGACAACCACTCCCATTGTTAGGGTGGAGACGTGCGCATCTCTTCATATACAGAGCTGTGAATACTGCTTAAAACAAATACATTTTATTGCCTATATGGATGGTGTTAAGAGATAGATGGGAGGTATTGAATGGAGTTGAAGGATGGGACTAATAACAACTAATAAGAACTAATGTAAGCATACTGTGTCCATAATAAGTATATAGGTTGTATGTTGGGAGCTTTTGGGAAAGAGCACAGTTAGAAAGATATGGCATATAGACACAAACCGGATGGACATCATGAAAATGATCAGAGAGGTTGAGAGTAGAAGTTCAGGAGCAAAAACAAATAAAATATAATTATTGTAAAATTGACTGTGTCCATAAGGTGTAGATAGTAAGTATAGGCTGGAAGTAGAGGCCTGGGCATTGTTGTTCACTAATTTACCCCAATTGGAAGTGATGCAGACAATTACATTGATAGAAGTTACAATCTATCTGCAATATTAAGCTGATCTACCCCCATAAAAAAAAAATATATATATTTGTTCACATTCTCTGTGATCACGTAAAAAATGTTTTCTGTTAGATGCCTTAATACAAAGTTTCTTAAAGTATACTGAACAAAAATATAAATGCAACCTGTAAAGTGGTGTTCCCATGTTTCATGAGCTGAAATAATAGATACCCGAAATGTTTCCATACCCACAAAAAGCTTATTTCTCATATTTTGTGCACATTTGTTTACATCCCTAATAGTGAGCGTTTCACCTTAGCCAAAATAAACCATCCACCTGACAGGTGTGACATTATCAAGAAGTGGATTAAACAGCATGAGCATTACACAGGTGCGCCTTGTGATGGGGATAATAAAATGCCACTAAAATGTGCAGATTTGTCACACAACACAATGCCACAGATGTCGCAAGTTTTGAGTGAGCGCGCAATTGGCATGCTGACTGCAGGATTGTAAGCCAGAGCTGTTGCCAGATAATTTATTGTTAATTTCTCAACCATAAGCTGCCTCCAACGTCGTTTTAGAGAATTTGGCAGTACCGGCCTCACAACCAGTGTTGCCAATTTAGTGACTTTGTCGCTATATTTAGCGATATTCAGACCCCTCTAGCGACACATTTTCAAAAAAATCGACTAGCGACAAATCTAGCGACTTTTTCTGGTGTTATTGGAGACTGACGTGAAAGCACGTATCGTTCTTACTCTTCTCAACGAGCAGCGGGTGCTGCCGTGGGCCCCATCCCAAAGCACTCACAGGTGGCCCAGTCCTCGCGCAGCAGTCCCTCCCAGCTGCAGTCAGAGCAGGAGATGTTCACCCCTCCGCGTCCAGACTGCAAATGAATCGCGCATGCGGGAAGCCGCCGCTGGCTGATCCCGCCCTGGATGTAAATGTAAATGTTCTTTGTCTAAAATAAATCACTGCATTTGACTCACACAGCCTCAGTCACATACTCACCTCGTCCACTGTGTGTGTGCCTCTCTGTGACATAAGCTAAACATCTAGCTGGCTAGCTCATCATGTCTCAGTCTAAACTGTACACTCAAAAATACAGAAAGGAGTGGGAATCAAAGGCTGGTTGAATCCGTTTATTGGAGATGATACACAGGGCATACTGCCTGTATTGTAAAACTTAGTGATGTAAAAAAAAACACATGACAACTCAAAAACATACTCAAAAGGCAAAGCCACCCAAAACAAGCTGCCATTTATGGTTTAAAAAAATTGACTGCAAAAAAGGCTGAGGCCACCATGGCATTAGCTATCGCTGAACACTGTTCCATGCTGGCATGTGATCACATTGGAGAAGCATGTAGAGCTGCTTTCTCAGAATCCACTACTCCACTTCAAAATTCACAGGACAAAGTGCACAGAAATGATTAATGGTGTTCTAGCACCATACTTTCTGAAAAAGTTGGTTGCAGATGTGGGTGACCAGCGTTTCAGCCTCCTCCTCGATGAGTCCACATGTAAGTGTTTCTAAGTACCTGGGGGTTGTGATAAGGTACTTTAGTGACACCAAGCAGACAATTGTATCAACATTTCTGGGGCTTGGTGAGTTGGAGGGAGGAGATGCCAAATCTATAGCCCGTGCTGTTGTGGCTTTCCTCGAGAAGTGTTGTCTTAAAAAAAGAGAAACTCCTGAGGATATGGACTGACAATGCCTCTGTTATGACGGGGATTAACAACGGGGTCCATAAAGTCCTGAAGGAGGAGTATGGCCTCAAAGATCTGGTTCTTATTCGCTGTGTGTGCCACTCTGCAGCTTGCTGTAAGTCATTCTTCCAATGACACCATCCCCCGTAGTGTGGAGTACTTGGTACGAGAGACTTATAACTGGTTTTCAGTGTCTCCAAAGCGCAGGGAGGCCTACAAGGCCATATATGAGACCATCAACTGTGGGGAGAAACCTTTACAGATAACCAAGGTGTGTGCCACACGTTGGCTCTCCATTGAACCTGCGGTTTCACACATTTTGGAGGAGCTTAGCCTGCATTTCGCAGTCACCAAGTCCAGTGAACACTGCTACATGGCTGAGGTTTTATTTACATTTACATTTACATCATTTAGCAGACACTCTTATCCAGAGCGACTTACAAATTGTACTCCATGTACAGTGATCCTCAAAACATATTGTATCTGACTTTTTTGAAGTCAGTGCTGGGTGAGGTACAGTTGGCCATCAAGGCTTTTGAGGGAGAGCAAGTAGATCCTCTTAAGCTACTTGACAGCTTGGTTAGCCTGATCAAGTCTGTGAGCAGCAGGGTGCTGAATCTACTGGCAAATGTTGATGTACTCAAAGGGTCAATAGATGGATACATCAGTCCCAAACCGTACCTTGGTTACCTTTTTGAGTCAAAGGTAGCTGAGATCCACCTTGTGCCTGAGGATGAAAACAATGTCCGAAAGCGGTGTGTAGCCTTCACCATCTCCCTCACTAATGAGTTGAGGGTGAGACTGCCGGACAACATCGAAGCATTGCTGTACATGTCAGTTTTCAATGTGGAGGAAACTCTAAAGCACAATAAGAGCCCTGGAGAACTAGAAAAAATAGCCAAGCTCCTTGGCTACTCCCCTGCAGAGATAGACAAGATTGGCGTGCCATCCATCTTAGTAAATAGAATGAGACAAAAAACACACTGGGCTTCTGGAGTGAGATTTGGAAGTTCAGGGATGCAGCTGATATCAACCTGTTTCAAGAACTTGCCATGGCTGCTGTGTCTGTGTTGTCCTTGCCACACTCGGATGCTGAAGTCGAGAGAGTATTCAGCCAGATGAGTGTGGTAAAAAGCAAACTTAGAAATCGGATGTCCTTGCAGACCCTTAACTCCATCCTGTACATTCGATATGGACTGAAGCTGTCTGGTGAGGCTTGCTATGAGCACCAGCTGCCTGATAATGTTTTGCAGCTTTTTGGCCCATCAGCTGCTTACTCATTTCAAATCAAATCAAATCAAATTTGATTGGTCACATGCGCCGAATACAACAGGTGCAGACATTACAGTGAAATGCTTACTTACAGCCCTTAACCAACAGTGCATTTATTTTAAACAAAAAAAGTAAGAATAAAACAACAACAAAAAAAAGTGTTGAGAAAAAAAAGAGCAGAAGTAAAATAAAGTGACAGTAGGGAGGCTATATATACAGGGGGGTACCGTTGCAGAGTCAATGTGCGGGGGCACCGGCTAGTTGAGGTAGTTGAGGTAATATGTACATGTGGATAGAGTTAAAGTGACTATGCATAAATACGTAACAGAGTAGCAGCAGCGTAAAAAGGATGGGGTGGGGGGGCAGTGCAAATAGTCCGGGTAGCCATGATTAGCTGTTCAGGAGTCTTATGGCTTGGGGGTAGAAGCTGTTGAGAAGTCTTTTGGACCTAGACTTGGCACTCCGGTACCGCTTGCCGTGCGGTAGCAGAGAGAACAGTCTATGACTAGGGTGGCTGGAGTCTTTGACAATTTTGAGGGCCTTCCTCTGACACCGCCTGGTATAGAGGTCCTGGATGGCAGGAAGCTTTGCCCCAGTGATGTACTGGGCCGTACGCACTACCCTCTGTAGTGCCTTGCGGTCGGAGGCCAAGCAGTTGCCATACCAGGCGGTGATGCAACCAGTCAGGATGCTCTCGATGGTGCAGCTGTATAATTTTTTGAGGATCTGAGGACCCATGCCAAATCTTTTTAGTCTCCTGAGGGGGAATAGGCTTTGTCGTGCCCTCTTCACGACTGTCTTGGTGTGTTTGGACCATGATAGTTCGTTGGTGATGTGGACACCAAGGAACTTGAAGCTCTCAACCTGTTCCACTACAGCCCCGTCGAT